ATAATTTAGTAAAGGCAAACCTTTAATTTACCTAATCCAGTCGTATTGGGGAGAAATCGAATTCAAAGTAACAGAAGTCTTTGAAAATTCTTCCTTTTAGAGCTTCAATCATGCAACTATCTCTGCGCAGTCTACATCCGAGAACGAGAAAGCATCTGGCGACACGAGCGAGTCTTCTGAGGTTTCCTGCCTGAATCACTATTGAGAAGTTCATTGATAGTGTTTGTTGCAGGAGCATATCGCCACAACAACTATTAGAATCAGCGAGCAACCTCTTTCTTGCTTCTTACCCTTGGACGATTACTCTCCCAATACAGGTAGGGTTTCATCCGTAAATTTGTGGAAATCTTGCGCTTGTCAAAAAAAGTCATCATCCTCATTCTAAAGTTTTTCATATGCTTCATGAAACCTTATAGTGCTTTGTGTAAATGTACTGTTTAAGGTAATCGCCTCAATAATAATGTTCTCGAGTTGAGTTCTTGTGAAGATGACGACCACGTTAGAAAGGGCTCGAAGGTAGTCGTCGATACAGTGGTTCGTTCTCCAAAAACTCTATCGGGTAGGATATGCGGTGTGCCCCAGTGTGAACCGCCAGGTGTTCAAGGAAGGCATCAAAAGTGCACTCTTCTCTAGCACTATCGTTCCATATTTCACCCTACGAAAGTTTTAATAAATAGACGGTGTGTGCATATGGCTGTGATCTTTTGACATGTATATGCAATATGTGTTCGCTGCTCATAATCCGTCTTTTCTCCCTAGTTGCTCCTTTCGACCGCCTCGGCATCACGCATATTGCCACCAGATCAGGTTTCTCGTGTGAGACATGTCGTTTTGTGCTTTTGTTTACATTGCCTCAAATTCCATAATGATGTATTGTAAAGCTTTATTGCGCCAGCTAATCATCCATGCTTGCGCGATCCGACTTCTTGTCACTTACATATCCAAGGGTCTCATTTGTTTTTGTTGAGTTTTTTGTATATACTACCATATTATGTAGTATTTGCATCCATAAAGTTACTATATAAGTGTGGCGTATCGGCGTATTCTTGGCTGCTAATGATTTGTGTTTACAAATTGTTTAGAACTAATTGGAAATTTTTATTGAAAACGCTATAAGTACAAGATATATGGTTGAGGCATCTCACTGCTTGTTTGGATTTCCTGAAGAAGTTGCACAGCTTCTTCAATAGCATGCCCGTTGATTTTTGGTTCGAAGGCACTCGAGTGGACCGAGGGATTTATACTTTGAGAGATCTGCAGTAAACAGTCGCTCGAATATTCCAGTTCCAAAAGTAAAGCTTTCCGTTTTCAAGTTTAGCTTTTAGCTTATCTGTACCCCTAGGGAGAGGCTTACGAATTTTGCCGGCGGTTGTTTAGTTTTATCTCAAGATTTTTACAGCGTAATGCAAAAGACCGCCTTCTTACGATTAGACTGTCAGGAATGGTACATTTCACAGAATTGAAGAAAGTTGACGAGGGAAAAATAGAAGATATTGCTAGCTTAGAGGCCAGAAGAGTAAAAGAGGAGGATTACCTATACTTAAGAAAAAATTGTTTTTTCTTCCAACATGAGCTCGAAATCTGAGCATAAACTTTTGAAATCTAAGCTTGTCACGGTTTTCCATAATTTCAAAATCTTTCCAAAACTCACCAGAAGATTGACTATGCCCTTTACTTCCTCTCTAATGATCA